GACTGTGATAGAGGTATTAACTTAACTTCCAATCTTTTGACTCTTCATGTGCGCAATGGACCCATGAGTAAGTATCTTCAAATGTTTATGCCTTGACGTAATATCTACCTTCATATTTTAACCAGCTCTATTGAAAAAATTTCCTCTTGTAGCTAAGTGTAATAAGAAGACATGGACCTACAGTTTAGTTCTCAAGTTGGTCAGACATACAGAGTTCTATGAAAGAGAAAGAATACAGAATTTGGCTAATTTTAGGCATGAGCTAATTTGCATTCTTGTGGGTACTATTTTATGACAATTCACATAAAAATGTGATGTTGAATTTTCATTATTTTTAATATAATAGCACATGTCAGTTCAAATATAAACTTGTAAGCAAATTTCCAGAATACCTACCCTCCCAAATATTTCTCTGTCACTCTAAGACATTTTAAATATTTTTTTTATCTTCTGTCTTTACATGGGGTTGATAAAGTTAAATAAGTGTGATTTTCTTACAAAAGCACATGCACATTTCATATATTATGAGAAAGCATAATTAATAGCAAATTAGGATAATGAAAGTAATGTACACCAGATGTAGAGAAGACCTCATGGAAAATTAGTATGAATTAGATAACATGTGATTTGGTCAAAGCAAGCTTGTTGAGAAGAATTAAAACAGTGGACATGTGGAGGGACATTCAGTGGCTGTCTAGTTCCTATGCCCGGGGAATAATTTAATCAAGTTCGCTATTGTAATACTCAGGGCTTCAAGCTGTTCAATTTTCACAAGTCGATAACTTGGGATTTGGGTTTTGATTCGCAGCATTCCGATATGGTCAAGGTTTCCTGTTGAGATGATCATTTACCAAGTAATTTAATAAAGAACATCTGGAGACAAAGAATAAAAAAGTAATCAGGTATCCCAACACTTAGTTCAGGTTCCAGCTCTTTCAGGTGCCATTGATTACTATAAATCTAATAGTTGCTACAATGCCATTTTTTATTTAATGTTCTTTGAGTGACAATAGTCCCACTTTCTTATGCCTACAAATGTTTCTCAGCATTTATTAAACTAAATTTCAGTATTTGGTTGGCTAAATTATATAGCTACATTTGGAGTAATATATATGTAACATTGTAACATCTAGGTATTTTGCATACATAGCCATCTAACCATCCCAGCAGTATGTAGATATCACTACCATCATTGCCATTGTCATTTTCAGATGCTATAACAAATCATAAACTAAGTAAATAAATAACCTGGCCAAGGTTATACAGGTGGTAATAGACCTATTACAGGGTATCTAGGTTCTTGTGTTTTGGAAGTAAATGATTCAGTTGAGAGCAGAGATACTTTAAGTAGAAGTTTATTTAACAAAGTAAAACAAAATTTTTGCTCCAAGAGTGACTGGAGAAAGCTCCCCCAAAGGAGAGCTAACATCCCAGTGGGTTCTGCACTGTGAATTTTTAAGAAGTTTTTATGAATATCTAAGGGATGGCTGGCATACTCAAGGGTAAAGTGAGTGACTCTTTCCATCACAAATCATGGTGGGCCAGATACTCTTTGGGATATTTTTTCCCCATGCTCCTCTAAAAGCCCATTTTAGATAACCAAACCATGACATAAATGACATCATAATGAAGCTGAGGTCTTTTCAAGATAAAGACTCTCCATTACTGCACACCTGTAGGAAAATGCCATAGATCCCCAATTCTCATACAGTGGTAGTAACTTATGTCCATCATCAAAGACATTTAACCAAGAGGCATTCTAATGTCAGGAGACATAGCTACAAAAATTCAGCTATCACATCTTACATCTAAGTTCTGTTTTAGACAGCTTGAGGATCTCATGATCATCTGTCAGTTAAGACTTTTTTTTTTTAAATTGAAGCATTATCATGAAAGCTGTGGCCAAGGTTTTGGATACCTTTTCTAGTTATACAAACAGGAGTTCTACCTCTCAGCTTTTACCTAACAGACCCAAGATTTGAACACTAATTTTCTACCTTTAGACCAGGTATTTTTAAGCATAGTATATGAGTATCCATAATGTGAATAAACGATGAAACAATTGTATCCTTTCTATTTATAATTGTGAAAAGGACATTGACTAAGTGCAATCTTTTATGTAGTATGTACTACCTTTTTAAACTTATTTAATAGATTTTTATAATGTGAATAATATAGCAGTAATCTTAAAAAATAGGTTTTATCCTACCTATTAAGTACTATTGATTGCTAGCTCATTAAAATCAAGTCTTTTAATTTGCTTCTGGGAAGTGATCTTTAAGCCATGTTCCAATAGTGAAATAATCATAGATAAATAAAACCTGGACCACTGCTGTTTACTCAGCAGAATTGTGAGCCTGCTTTCAGGAACTCAAATACAAGATTTTAGTACAGGTTAATGTGGGGAGACAAGGAAGCCATGAAGGAAAGTGTAAAAAGCAGATGAAGTCCTGAGTGAATATATGTTGCTGACATGGGCACTCCCAGGCCAAGGACCCAATGCCTCAGACCCATGGTAATGGCAAAGCCTTCTTTATGTGAGTTAGCCTTGGAACTTGCAAAACTTTCCTTTGATCAAGGTGTGGATATTGACAGTGTGTGCAAGTGTATTTATGAACAGTTGACTGGTGTGTGCAAAAACTAGCAACAGCAACTTGTTCTTTACAGATGTTCACAGCCTGAAACTTCTGGCTTATAGGAAACTCTTACTGAGACAAGCTAATCCCTGTGCTGTGCATAATAAATGCACCGAGGTGCCCAGTTAGTGTATAGTTGGCACCACTCCATCAGAGTGCACAGCCCACCTGACCCCAGTTTTTCGGTATGTGTGTCTGTGTGTTTGTGCTTTCTTCATAACTCCCTGTACCCAATATGTCTACCTTGGAGCCACTCGAAGATGTGGCAGGGTGAAAAAAAATCTATCTGTCTTTAGTGAAAATAATTGAGTTTCTTGAATAGCTGAGAAAGAATTTGCTGAATGAATTCATTAAAATGGAACTTGTTAATTGAAAAGGACATAGGAAGTTTGAGTCAATCTGAGCTTGATGTTTAAATGGTTCATATGACAGACACCAAAGTCTATGCTTGGTTCTTCAAATTATTTTCTAGATATAGTAACAATTCTATGCCAAGAAAAATGAAGACTATATGGATTTTCTACATGGTCCTGATGTTTGTGGACTGTATTTGTTCATCAAAACAAGTTTTCCCAAATTCTGAGATCATTTTTAATTTTTTCTTTTGTTGTACTTAACATGGTTGTATATGTTGGCCTTTTACACATCTTATTTCATGCAATGTTCAGTTGACTTCTGTTATAAATGGTCATGTATTGCTTTGTTAGTAAAATCACATTAGCCTCCAGGGCAAGGAGAAAGAGACATCTACCTGCTCACGTGCTTCAGATCTTCCATTTTTGTCTAGTGAGTCTTGAGCAATTGACACAATGCTTTGTATCTTACCTCACTCCATGCATGTGTTTTCAATTCCAGAACAACTTTTGGCTCTATTGTGGTGCTGATTTCATTGAATCCTGAATGCTTTCAGGTTATTACCAAATGATTAGATTATTTCAACTTGTACCTATGTCAGGTAATAATTCTGATAATAAGATGACATAATTTTAATGAAGATATTAGTAAATAATCAAATGAAAATACAATAAAACATTCCAAGTTCATGAGAAATATTCCTAAAGGAGATAAAACTAATGTATGCCTGTAGAAATAAAGATTAAATGTATTGAAACAAATACATGAGGTATATATCATTGGAGACACAGTAAAACAAATGTTAACCTAATCATTCAAAAGTGTGTTTTTGATCACGTAGCAAAAAGAATAGACATAAGAAGTGCTATGTAGAAATCAGGAAGACAGTACATATAAAAGAACTCTTTACAAAGCAGAATGAATTTCTTAGAAATCAGGAAGACACTACATATAAAAGAACTCTTTACAAAGCAGAATACATTTCTTAATGGTTACCACTGCTGTGTGATTGATAAATAAATCTATGAACTCTTTTTTTTGTGAATCATAATAGCACAGCAAACAATAAAACTATCACAATAAAATTCAATATACTTAGAAGTATAAAGCTAACATTTTTTCTATATTACCAGTCATGATACTAGATAATATAAGGGGAAAAGGTCATTATGATAAATTGCAAGAAAGAAAATTTCATAATAAATATGAAGTTGAATGAATAAAACCAATTACAAAGTCTTCTAAGAGACTTAAAGAAATCTTATTGAGAAACATTATTTCTCTATAAGCTGTGGTGATATTTTATTGTATCCTAATAAAACATGCCAGAAGATCAGAGAGACAAAGGAACAAACCATTGCCACATCTCACATTGCCAACTCCACGAATCCTCTGTTTGAAAGCCTCTGAGTCCTCAGCTGAAAAGCTTTCCTCACCCAGAAAGGTCTTCTGCCGAAAAGGCTTCTAGCCAAAAAGGCTTTAGTTCCTGTCTTCTCATGTCTTATACACCTTTCTCCACCCAACCAAATCACCTCCTTCCTAATGGCTTGTTCTGTCTTCTGATCTTCAGGCAGAATTTATTAGAATACAACAAACTATCACCACAATAAGCATGTAAGATAACATTAAATGGAATAAAAGTGTTGAGGAGAACTTTGAAATTATTTACCAAGTGTGTAAATGAAAAATGTTTATATAACAATACCAAGCTACAAGAATTGTAGAGAGTAGCATGGAAGAGGAAGTGCTGAAATGCAGACTTTTGCAAATATTATCAGATAGTAATAGTTTCCCATTCTGTTCTCTCTGTGTTGTCTCAAGCAACAGAGGTATTTCTGTCGTGCAAAAAGAACACACATTTCAAGTTTTTTGAAGCAATTCTGCTAAAACATGGGTTTTGCGTTTGTGTCCTTGTGTTTCATCTGGCCTTTCAGAAGGCAGAAGTTTTCTGTGTCTTTTTTATTAATGATTTCTTTTTTTATTTGTACATATGATTTTCAATTCTCTTAGAAAGATGTGCGAGACATCCTCACTCCTGTTCAGGTTGAGGCCTCTTATCACCTTGGGCATCATGTGCTCACCAAACGAAACACAGAAGAGTTCCCGCCACTTCAGCCAATCCTCCAGCAGAAGAAAGAAAAGGATGTGATTAGAAAAACGGTATGAGGCTTTTCTGGGATTTAAAACATCATGGAACATAACTGAAGAATTTTTTAAATAGGACAAAATAAATTGAAATGTGCTTGAATTGTTTAGAAACTTTTGTGGATTGTTAATTGTGAATGAAAATAGATTTAAAATATGTCTCTCTCGGTCTCTCTGTCTCTGTCTTTGTCTCTCTCTGTCTCTGTCTCTCTCTCTCTCACTCTGTGTATGTGTGTGTACCTTCCCATGTATAAATATTTATGTAAAACATGTAAGTTTTTCTCTCCTTGAAGAAATGAATTGCTCAAGGGAAGCCATGTTGGACATTGGTTGTACTGTGAGTTAGCTATCCAATGTCATTTCACACACTCACTGATCTTCCTTTCTCATTTATTTCTCACTTTCTTTGATTATGTCTCTCTCCCTGCCCATGGATCCACTCTAGATTGCTCAACTCAACCGCTGAAGTTTTGTTACTTATTAACACATTTTTATGTGACACAATTTCTCTTTTAAAAATTGCATTATACTTTTTCAGCCGCATCCCAATAACAGCTGCATTTTAAGAGAGTCCCTGCATTCTGGCCAATGAACTGATGTTTTTTTCTAAAGTGTTTGCAAGTACTTCAGTTTCCCTAACAATACATTTATTCCTGCAAGTCCCAGTGTCAAGACATTAACTGTCTGACAGTACAGACACAGTTAACAGGCTGCATTAGAACACAGTCAAAAGCACTCATTAAAGCATGCACTGATGGCAGGTAGAAAGCCACTCCTGTCTAATTTAGAATACTCGATCAAAGGAACACAATAACCTAAGAGCAAATTTTTAGAGTCTTACATGAAAATAGTTAAGGGAGTCAGTTTCTATATATAGCTGTACTCTGATATAATTCACTGCCCATCCCTGAGCTAAAATAAGGTAGACATACTTCTGTGTAATAAATTTGATCAGAATGTAGTAGGAGAAAGTAGAGGGAAAGCAGATTAAGGGTGCTTTTGCAGCTGATATTCCAAATATCTGTATAGTGTCTTTAATACAATATTTGACTTAACAAATTTAGGCCTAGAATCTACTATGGGAACTAAGATTTTTTTTTTAAGCCCTGAAACTATGTATTTGGTTCTCTTGACTAGTTCTCTCTCAGATTGGACCTTGGGGGAGGCATAAGTTATAATTTGATGTGTGACTTTTATTTTTGTCAAGCACAGGTGCCTTATTCTTTAAATACATAGAAATTAAAATAAAGGTTATAATGTTTTATTTCCAGATAAACTTTGCAAGATTTTGTGCCCATGAAAATTGTTCTGCTGATCTTCAAGTTTCTGCAAGAATTGGATTTTTGAAGTAAGTATAGTTTACTCTGTTTTTCATCAAAAGTACATAAATGGTAAATGCATATGGGTTCCAGTGAGAGGGGAACTAACCCATGAGTGTTGGCATCATAAAAAAAATCTACAAACTGACAACATTTTGTTGTGAAGTACTAAATGATCCCTATGTCATTCATAACATATATATATATATATATATGAGCATTAACATTTTTTAAAGAATAAAAGCAAGAGTAGCCCTAAAGTTTTATGAAGTGTGCTTTAATTTTTTTCTTGTAAATTAGAAGATATTTCAGGATTTAATTCATTTTTGGATATCATTATCATAGTCATAGTTATGTTTCAACATTTGTTAAGTGCCTAGTAATAAGAGTTTTACTGGTAAAAAATGAACTTTATTATATAATGGTTAGTATATTTTATGGCTAGAAAAATGGGTTATACAACTCAAATTGATATGCAGAATAATGTATTTTGACAAATTTGAAAAAATAAACCAATTTGTTCTAAATTCATAGGATGATAAGCAGAGTAATAAGAGGATACAATGTGCTTAGACTAGCCTCTGGCATTTAGCAAGAACTGGATAAAAAGGGATGTCTAGTGTTACTTTATAATGGAGAATAAATCACTGTAATTTTGTATCATGTAGAGATTCCCAATATTCAAATTGTTTTGCACGTCTGTGGACCTCAGGAAATGAAAGAAGGATAAGGATGTGGCAGGGACAGGGCAAGGGGATGAGAACTGGTTCAGGAAGTGGGACACAAAGGAAGCCAGAGCTACTTGTAACAAGTTCAATTTGGTGGGTATACTATTGCATTTTATGTCAACTTAACATAAAGAAGAGTCATGTGGGAGAAGTGAATGCCAGCTAAGAAAATGCCTTCACCAGACTCGTCTGGAGTCAAGCCCGTGGTGCATTTTCTTGATGATCTGATTGATGTGGCAGGGCTTAGTTCACTGTAGACAGTGTCGTTTCTGAGCTGGTGGCCTTGGGTGCTAGAAGAAAACAGGCTGAACAAGCCACTTCTCACCTGTTCCTGCTTCCAGGCTCTTGTCTTCCCTGGATGATGGACTACAAGTTGTAAGATGAAATTAATTTTGGTCATGGTGTTTTATCGCAGCAATAGGAAATATAACTAAGAAAATGGGGCTTTGATACATAGCTCTCTAATTGAAATTCACTCTCAACATTATATTTAAAATTCCCTCTACACATTAGAGACTGGTGAGTTTGCATAGGGAGAAGAAATGTAAACTTTACAGAATAAATAACTGCATATCAAATGTTGGGAGTCCTTTTATTTAAAGATCTTAAAAGCAATAGGAACCCTTTTAGAAACTATAAAAGGATCTCCAGAAAACCAAGCCCTGATAACCAGTGGGGGGGGTATAAAAAGGTAGCATTAATATTAACATTTCATATCAAGATTAGATAACATAATGATGAGAAGGGTCATGGACTTTGCATCTAAAATGCAGAAGGAAAGTGTTAGCAGCAAATTTTAAGATGACGATATCAGTGCAGTAGTACTCAAATATCAAGAATGGTGATTAAGGCAAGAAGGGAATACTGGACACAAAAGACAATTGTTTTTTTTTTTTACATATTTCTTTTCCTTCCTTCCTTTCTCTTTTATTCTCTCTCTCTCTCTCTCTCTCTCTCTCTCTCTCTCTCTCTCTCTCTCTTTCTCTTTCTCTCTCTTTCTCTCTGTGACAGCGTCTCACTATGTAGCCCTGGCTGTCTTGGAGTTCACTCTGTAGATCTGGCTGGCCTTGAACTCACAGAGATCCATCTGTTTCTGCCTCCCAAGTGCTGAGATTAAAAGTGTGTTTCTGGCTTTATATATTTCTTGAGTGTGACTTGGGTAAATAAGAGAGGGTAACCTTTGGCTTAAATCCCAAAGAATGCTTTTTCAGTTCCTTCTTGGACTTGCCCTGAAGCGTCTGGCAGCCTTTCACTTCAGCTGCTGAAGTTCTTTTGCTTTCATCGCCTTGATGAGGTCCTGTAGTATTTTCTCGTCTAGCCTCTCCTCAATTGTGTTCAGATCATCTCTGATTCCCATTCATGACCAGCCCATTTACACATGACCATGTTTTTCCTGAGTAACCTTACAACTATGACCCCTCCTGGCTTTCCCACGCTGCCTATGCCTACATCAGCATCTTTGAACATCACATCCCATGGCCTGTTGTATGGCAAGAATTATCAGTATCCCGTAGATTGATTCTGATTAGTCATTAATCTGGACTGGTGTGACCATTACTTCACTGCCTGAGTGAGAAACCTAGATTTCAACCTTTTTGTCTATTTACTTTTTTTAACGCTTGAGATCCTGTAGGCAAACATTTCTGTCCTGCCAGCTGCTCCCCAAATAACCACCTAGAGACTTAATATTAAATATAAATGCTCAGCTGACAGCCTAGGCTCATTTTTAGCTATCTCTTGTAACTTAACACATTTTTATTAATCCATGTGCTGTCCCAAGGCTCATTTACCTCATGTACATACTTCCCATCCTGCTCTCTCTGTGTCTGGCCAATGACTCCTGCAACTCTGCTCCTTTTCTTTCCAGCATCCTCCTAGTTTGGCTCTCCCACCCAATCTCTTCCTGCCCAGTTATAGGCCAGTCAGTTATTTATTAGCTAATGAGTGTAATACATATTTACAGTGTACAAGATTGTTCCATAGTAAGAACCTATAAATTAGTAAAATTTGAAGTACTGCCACTTAATAGTATTGTCTACCTTCTCTCTCTCTCTCTCTCTCTCTCTCTCTCTCTCTCTCTCTCTCTCTCTCTCATCTATCTTTACTATTTTACAAACCAGGTACCCAGTAGCCTCCCTAGATCATCTAGTCTTCAGGCTTCTCAGGCACTGTCATTAGTACTCTAATCATTATGTGACCAGCATGACCAATCTAACATCTACAGTGGAGGTACAAGGAGCCCTTAGTTGATTGGTAAATGATAATGATTCAGTATCTCATTTTAGACTTAAAATTTAAACTCCCCAGTCCTGTATCTCACCACTACCCTAGGTCTCTTTATCATCAATGGAAGAATGCTTACAGTTGTTTGGCCATGCCATGTATTCTCATACCAGCCATTTTCTCACTTTTCCTATTCATCCACCTGATTAACCTGCATTTATCTTTTAAATCTCAGCATTTCCAAGAGATAGCAGTCTCTGTCTCCAGCTCCTTACCCCTAGACCCTTCCATACACCTAGGTCTATGACATAGTACACACTGCATTGAGAATCTTTCTCCACACTGGCCTGGAACCTGCTGTAAGGCAAGTCCTGTCCTCAAGTTTGTATTCTCAGAGCCTAACAGAATGCCTGGAGAACAGGAGGTGACTAACAGAGGTTTCCTGAGAAGAGAACAAGAGTTCCAAGACTTATAAGTAGAGGAGTTAGCCTTGAAAAGGAGTTAAGAGTCACTTGAGCTTGGGCTAAGAAGCTGGGAAAGATGATTGATTGTGGAAGGAAGAAACATGTAGAAAAGTTATGGGTTGTTACAATGGAAATTCAGTTTCATGGATGGTGACTGAAGACTTAGGGGACAGTTTGGGAAATGAAAGATCCAATGTGACTGTTAAATGTAGAACAAGGGATCAAGTAGGAAAGAGCAGAAAATTTAATGCACAGTGTTGATTACCTTGTTGGGGAAGACCATGAATTCTTCTCAGTCAGACAATGCCAGTGTAGCCATGAGCATCTACAGTGGCGGGGTAAGGAGCCCTTAACTTGATTGGTAAATAAACCTGGTGCTTATAAATGACTCAGTTGGCTCACTTTGATAATTGAAAAAAGCAGTGACTAGTAACTGCTTTGTACACAAGAGCGTAGAGTGACTTTGTGAGTCTATTAGTTGAACAACTTGTAATTTTTCATTTGTATATTTGTTTTCTAACATATGCATGGTTTTAAGTATATCAGGAGACTTTGATTAAAGTTGTACAGGTGTGTTGGTAGAGCAGGAGATTTTCTTAAGCATAGATGGACAGTGTTTCCATCTGCTTGTGTTAGGCACTCTGTGTCTTCCTGGTTACCTTTCATTGCAAATGTGCTGGCTCCTGAGAAAATGAGATTTCAAAGCTTAAGTGCAAATGTCTCTAAGAATGTTTTCAACTTATTCAAATAACATGGAATTATTAATTCAGTTTTTCTATTTTCTTGCAAAAAATTTTCTACTTAACATTTTTAATTAGAAATACTTTTTAAATTAAAAATCAAGCCGGTGATTTTAAATAGTAGCTGGCCAAGTGTAAGGTGGTGTTCATTAGGATGTGGTCCTGAGTCCAGGACAATACTCACCATGCCTACTGGAAATGCATATCCTACACCCCAGAAAGTTCTCATTGATACCTATGGGGACCCAAGCAAGACACCTTCACTATGAACAGAGTTGTAAGTTCACTTTTTTAAGTTGATTGAGAATTCATACATGCATATGATGTGTTTTGATCAAGCCCACCCTTTTTTCCCCTCCAATTCCTTCTCTACCCCTACCAATATTCCTTCCAAATTTTATGTGTTCTCTTCTTTCTTTCTTTTTTTTTTTAACCCATGTAGTCTACTTTGTACAGCCAGTGTGTGCTTGGGTATAATTCCATATACTGGGCATGGGGCCACATTACTGAATAAAGCTGCTTATCTCTCTCCTAGTCATCATTTTTTTTGTCAATAGCTCCTCAGCTAGGGGTAGGACTTTGTGTTCCCACTTTCCCTACCCATGTGCGGTTTTGTCTGGCTTGCTCTTGTGCATGTAGTCATAGTTCACATAGTTCATATGTGCAATTGCCCTGTTGTTACCAGAAAACACTGTTTATCTGTAGTTCTCCACTGCCTCTGGTTCTTAAGTCAATCTGTGCTCTCTCTTCCAAAATGATTTCTGAGTCTTGGGAGATGATAATGTGATATAGATTATTTAGGGCTGAGCAGTCTGCCGTATCTTATTCTCTATAGATTGCAAGTTTCTGTGCTGGTCCACCATCTACTACAAAA